ATATATATATATATATATATATATATATATATATATATATATATATATATATATATATATATATATAATATATATATATATATATATATATATATACATACATATATATATATATAATATATATATATATATATATATATATATATATATATATATATATATATATTATATATTATATAATATATATATATATATATATATATATATATATATATATATATATATATATATATATATATATATATATATATATATATATATATATATATATATATATATATATATATATATATATATATATATATATATATATATATATAATATATAATATATATATATAATATTATATATATATATATATATATATATATATATATATATATATATATATAATATATATATATAATATATATATATATATATATATATATATATATATATATATATACTATACATAATACACACATATATATAATTATATATATATATATAATATAATATATATATAGTATATATATATAGTATATATATATATATATATTATATATATATATATATATATATATATATATATATATATATATATATTATATATATATATAATATGTATATATAATATATATATATAATATATATTATAGTATATATATATACATATATATATATATATATATATGTCTATAATATAGGGGGGGGGTATAGAGGATATATAGTATAGTATAAGTATAGGCGAGAACATGCGCACACACACACAATACATATATTCTCACCAGCATAACTGAGATAATGAATGCGGGACGATCTTCTCATCAGGCACAATTGATGGGCAGTTTAAACGATTCGACAGCCTAGGCGCCCCCACCCCCCCCTACACGATAGAATATTGGAATCTTGGAGAACAGGTAAACACCGCCATCTGTCCCTTATGTGAGGACACAGCGAGGAAGACCGCCTAATCCAAGCTAAAGGGATGGTTGTGTAATATATTTTCTTTCCAATGTTGAGCTGTTCATTTGTGGATATGATGTTAAGCTCACACCGCTCATTTATTCCGTTATTATTGTTAGTACAATGGTGAATGATGATGTTATTATGGTTATCATTATTATCACACGTCTATTATCATGTATTATGATCATTTATTTAGTTAGTATAATCATTTTAGTGATTTTTACATCATGATATATTGTCGTTATTATCTATTAGATTTCATTCATTTAGTTACAATTTTTATATTATCTCTACGCTATATCTATCTTATAAATAGTATTATATTAACTTGTTTTATTATACATATAATTATTTAATAAATAATATACATATTTACTATGCACTATATATCCTATAGACTAAATAATAATAAACATGAAAATTCCATCCTTATAATAAGTCTCAGTTAATACATTTCATCATTGTATTTAATTATATGATACTATGTGTATGAATTATTTGTTATATTATGATTTATAATATTAGCATTCATTATATATAATATTGTCATTATTATCATACATTATGGTTGATCGCCATCATAATTACTATGTATTGATTAATGCAACATTATTATCATCGATCATCTTAATAATGGAATACTACATTATGTTTGTCTGGTTGAGAGTCTTGATAATCGAAGTGAGTAGAGTATCGAAGACGTAAAGTTAGTCATGATAGAATTGAGTTTGAGGAAAACCGTAATGGAGCCGACTATAGAAGTAAGCACAGAGTAGATATATAGAGGAGAGAGACAGTAACTTCCATTGTAACGACGATATAAGCGGAATAAAGATACGTACATTAAAAAAAGAAAAGAAGAGAGAAAATTACCATGTCAGTTTACAGAGGGGGATTGTCGTGCCATTTTTTCCGTACAGACTGAGACGAGCCAGAAGATGGGCATGGGTTTACATAGGCAGAAAACATGAAAACTGTTGTGTTTAGTTGGTTCTGCGAAATGTCGTTGTATAAGCAATTTACTGAAGGATTTGCCAAGTGCTTTGCGAGTTATAGCTAATTAGCGACGAGGACAAAGAGACAAAATACAGGAGAAAAAGACAAACTATGACAGACACACGCACACAAAACACAGAGAAGAGTAAGACGCAAAGAGACAGTAACACACGGCATAGAGACCAACACGGGTGTAATATACACGAGAGCGCAGCACGAAGGGAAAGACACCCTTCCTACCGAATGATATCATACAGCACGCACACAAAAACACAAAAGATACACGCGCAAAAATACCTCGGAAGCAAAAACACACATAAATCACACCACACACGAGACAAATAACACAGTCAGACACACACAGAGACAGATACCCTTCGTAGAATGATTTCAGACGCAGCACAAAACACAAAGAGAAGGAAAACAAAACACACGCGGCTGGCTAAAACAGAATGCTACGCATAAAAACACAGGGGCAAGCAAAAAAGCCGGACAAAAAAGACAGGAGAGCACAAGCAAGCACACTCTGCAAGAGACACAAGAACACCCTTCGAACGAGTGAATGTTGCTACACACGCCACAACAGAAAAGCAGCGGAGTAATGAAGCACGACCAAAAACGACACCGCAAGCAATACAGAACGAACAGCAGGAGCATAGATAACACCAGCACACACGGGATAGATGAGAGCGAGAGCACGAAACGCTAACAAGCAAACTAAACACACAATAAAAAGACACACACAAGCACACACAAAGAAAGACACCCTTCCTACGATGACTTCTACACACGGGTCACAGCAAAAAACAAAGCATATGAACAGAACGAATATAGAAGCGTAAAACAACGAGAGAAAATAACACAGACCCACAGAGGAAAAGACGCATGCACACGAATAGATTTCATGAAGTACTTGGAAGACGACTTGGCTCCTCAAGGCGTTCATGATAACCGTTCAAGGAATCAGAGTGAACGAGACGGGTGTGTAATATGGGTAATGATGCTGGTGCTTGTGACGATGTCTTCTGTCTGCCTATTTTACACTCCGTCTATTTTTTTCTGTCTGTCTGTCTGGCTGTCTGGCTGTCTCTCTCTTCTCTCTCACATCTGTGAAATAGAGTAATGACGCTACTACTGATCATGATGAGATGATGAATATGATGATGACGATGCGTGATGAAGATTACGTGTGACGGGGATGACGATGATGATGATGAAGATGACGATGATGATGATGATGATGGTGATGACGATGACGATGACGATGATGATGATAATGAATGATGGTGATGGATGGCGAGGTGACGGCGATGACGATGGATGACATGATGAAGATGACGATGATGATGATGATGATGATGATGATGGTGATGATGACGATGACGATGACGATGATGATGATGACGATGATGATGACGATGGTGATGACGATGACTGCTACTACTATTACTACTATTGCTTGTCGTAGTATCAATGATGATAACAGTAGGAAAGAAAAGAATGATTATAAAAACAAAAACTATAACATCATTATCAATATCAGCATTAATTTTATAATTATTTTTCATTCTTCTTACTATTATTACCTAATATTCTTATTCAATATAAGCATTAACTTTATAATTGTTTTTTATGCTTATTATTCTTATTATTACCTAATATTCTTATTACCTTCATAATACCAGTGTCATCAATGTGACGATTAAAGTTTCCATTGAGTAAAGTTATTTTTTCTTTTAATTTCACTTGAAACACGGGGTTCATATATTCAACTTTTCCAATCTATTCCGGAGATATTCACTATTGTTTTGCCTGCCATTCAACTTTATTTTTGTTATATATGTTCTCTCCTTTTTCTGTGTTCTCTCTGTTCTCCCTCTTCTCTGTTCTCTTTGTTTTTGTTCTTGCTTTGCCTCGTTCGTTGTGTGTCATTCTCTTCCCCCTTGGAAACTGATCCTATCAATGTCTAAACTCTGCTGAAATGTGAGCGCGTTTTTAAGGGTCATTTTGCCTTGCTGGGTCTTCATTTACCTTGAGTTATTTGGGTTTTGTCAGCTTCTTCCCCTTCATCTCTGTCTTCGTCTGTCTGTCTGTCTGTCCTATTAGCCTTCGGTCCCATCTACTTCTTTCTCTGTCTGTTTTGTTTCTTTCTGTCTGCTCCTGTCTGTCTGTCTGTTTTGTCTGTATGTCTCTTTTTGTCTGTCTGTATTTCTGTCCTCTGTCTCTCTGGTCCTCTCTCTCTCTCCTCACTCTTTTCTCTCTCCATCTCCCTCCCTCCCTCTCCTCCCTCTCCATCTCTCTCTCTCTTTTCTCTTCTCTTTACGCTACCTTCCATCACTCCTCATATTCTCTCTCTCTCTCTCTCTCTCTCTGCTCCCTCCCTCGTCTCTCTCTCCCTCCCCTCCCTCCCTCTCCCTCCCTCCCTCCCTTCTCATCCTCTCTCTCTCTCTCTCACTCTCTCTCTCTCTCTCTCTCTCTCATCTCCTCTCTCATCACGTCTCCTCTCTCTCTCTTCTCTCTCATCGTCTCTCTCTCTCGCACTCTTTCTTCTCGTTCTATCCTTATCTTCATCCTACCTCTCTCAACTGGATCTATCTCCTCATCTCTCGTCTCTCCGGACACACAACGTCTCCGTCGCACTACCATACGTTATCATTCACACTGGGCATTACCTCCACACGAGCTCCACCGCCGACGCGCCACACGATCGGTCTCGGAGCACGGCTGACTCTGTGCTCGCCATTTCTAAATCTTCCGCCCAAGCTCAATCCTGCACTCTAACTGGGCTATGTGAGAACTGACTGGGTACAAATCTCTCTCTCGGGAATATATTTCAGCGCTTGTTACAGCCTCCTTTCTTCTCTCTCCGTCCGCGCATCCTGCGCCCTCTACAAGTCTCTCTGCCCATCTAGGAATAGGCACGGTACAAAGCTACACCGTTCAGGAATCGAGTGAAGAACCATCTATGGATAAGAGTAATGATTCTAATAATAAGATGACAAAAATCTACATTTGCCATATAACAAATGATTATAATAAGAGTAATTAGGATTATGCGTACTCTACCATATATTGTTATCGATGTATCAGCACTCATCATAATTACTCAGCATCATATGTAAAGTGATCCAAAGAACCTTTCGCAATTAGGGCACACCTCTTTGCTTCTCCCAATGTACTTGACTTATTGTCTTATCATTTATCTACACTAGTGCTTATTGACTTCATAATGCCATTATCATTAAACTGTGAATGAGTGTTAAGGATATTTTTGTCTAATTCGTCTGTGAAAGCTCTGTGCTCGACTGGCTCTACATTTCGCTACCGTCCTATCCTCTCCAGTCCGCCTGTTCGCATCGTCCCTCGCCCAACGTCGAGGGCCGGCACAGCACGCCCCTCTCTCGTCTCCGCATCGCGGCCCTCGTTTTCGGTCCTCATTCTTTCACACTGCCTGTCTGTCAGCTACTTCACTCGTACGCCCTGCTGATCTCATTCGCTCCTAGTGGTTGCAGAAGCACTGCTCAAGGGAGAATGGATCACATCTCCCAGAAGACCACGTGAGGCACACACCTTCTTCGTGCGGTCTGCATTCTTCTTCATCTTCAGTTTCCGAGGTCTCGGACCGTCTCTCTCCTCTCTCTCTCTCTCTCTCTCTCTCTCCTCTCCTCTCTCTCTCTCTCTCTCCTCCTCCTACGTGCTATCTATATATCTCATTACTTAATTACATTCCAACTTAAACTTCTTAAACATCTATACTTCCTAACCAGCGTTCTTTCCCTCCGCCACAGGGACGAGCGGCGTGCAGGTCCATAGCGTGTTGGTGCCACAGCCTGGGATCTCCGGCAGGGACGCGCAGCTGGAGTGCCGTTGGGCAGCTGGCACGAAGGGCTTCTACTCCGTCAGGTGGTACAAGGACGGCGAGCAATTCTACATTACAGTCCGCGAGAACCTCCGCAGCCTGAGAAAGTGGACCATAATTTACCCGGCGTCAGTTGTTTGTGAGTATTGTAAGTGATAAAGTTAATAGATGATGATAATTATGATGGTGATAATAATGATGATAGTGAGAGAAGTTGATGAAAGTGAGATAACAATGAAAATGATAATAAAAATAATTGATTGTAATTGAATAATAACAAAACAGGATAAAAAAAAATGGATTTATGATAAAATATGAATAAAGTAAAGAACAATAATAATGATGAAATAAATTAGAAATGAAATAAAAAAAATCAAAAGCGCATGATAACACTTGCGCTTATAACAATACTAAAACTTACGCAATATAAATGGCATCGACATTGATAAGGCCATCACAATATTCCATAACTATTGCAAACAATGAAACAGTACAGTGACAGTGAGAAATTCCAAACGGAAAGTTCACCGTAATTGCAGTAAATAGTTGTGCATGACTTTTTTCCCCAGCTAATTACGCGTCTAGCAATTAGTGGCTAGTTACACTTTTCATTATTCAATAATTGGAGAGTAAGTGAGAGCACAAGCAAAGAATGATACCTATTCCATATATGCATACTGTAGAGATACAGCTCTATTCGCACACTTCACATACATTATTCATTGTATGATATACATATATATATAATATATATATATATATTATATTAATATATATATATATATATATATATATATATATATATATTATATAATTATATATATATATTATATAACATACACACACGTATACACACATCACACAACACACAAACACACACACGCCACACACACACACACACACACACACACTAACACACACGCACACACACACACTGCACACACACATGCACACACACCGCACACACACACCACACACACGCCACACAGAATAACACTCACTGCATTGCCAAAACTCAGAAGTCCGAATCACGGCATTATTTCCATCAAGGATCGTCCACGGAAAGCCGAGGCATCACGACCGAAACTCCCACGAAAACTTTCCAGCTCCAAAAGTGACATGAAAAAAGGAGAGTGAATCGACGGCAAATCGACGCCCATCCTCATGTCGTTTATGGAGCGTCAGGGAGCATTTCTGTTGATGGGATCTCAGCCGTTGAATGTAATTAGCATAAATCTGCTACAAACCAGAGCTGGGGGAAAAAAATTATATTCGCTGACTAATTGCTGGTCGTAGCGTTTCAGCGGGCAGTCCTGTGTTGGGGAGGAGGGGGGGAGGTAGGGGTGGTGGGGGATGGGAATAGGGTGGAGGGAGAAGGATTCCGTGGGAATGAGTGGATGGGGTGGTGGGGTCGAGGTAGGGAGGATGGCGGGAGGAGGGAAGCAGGGGAGGTGGTAGTGGGGGCTGTGCGGCGGTGCGGGGATATGGATTGGGGTGGTAGTGGTGTGGAGGATGGGTTGGGGGAGGCAGGGAGGGTGCGTTGGAGTGGGCGGTAGGGGTGGATGGGGGCTGGAGGGAATGCAGGGGTGCGGGAGAAGGGTTGGCTGGGTGGTAGGGGGATGGTATGGTGGTGGTGGCTAGGAGGGGAGGGGTGGTGGGGCAGTGAGAGGAGGGAGGGGTTGGTAGGGGGGTGG